GTCGTCGTCGCCGTAGTCGTGGTAGTGCAGGGGTAGTATTGCGTAATGGTGGCGGTCACGGCAGCCCAAGTGGCAGCGGTAATTGCAGTGGTAGTGGGAGTATGAGCAGCAGCTTGGCACTGGTGGTTTCCATCGCCTAAGTTCCGAAAGTCCAAGCGTTTCAGCCCCCGAATTATTTGAGCCCCAAGCCCCCTAGGACCCACAACCTCAACCCCCCAACCTCTCCACACCGTGAACCTTGGGGGAACATGATAATTCAAACTGATGTAACACCTTCACAGCCCATGCTTCTGTGAAGAACAGACTTTCAAATTCCCATTCTAGATCTTGAAGGGTATGGAGTTGAGGCTTGAGAATTACAGTTGTCGGAACAGGGGGGCTCTGCCCTGGAATCTCGCATCCCAAGCCTAAACCTTGGAGTCAAAAGTCCCGTGCCCTGTGTCACCTCGACATCTCTGCGCGGGTGGCGTCCGGTCCAAACGCCTCTGAGCTTCAGAAAATGCTTTCAGGATCTTACGGCACCGATTCTTGAGGGTTCTGTGATGGTTGTTAACACGGCTTGTTCGGGTGTTGTATCGGTTTTCAGGAAATTGGGGACCTCCCCCCCCCCCCCCCCCATAATACACCCTGAAAAACTACAGGTAAGGGTTCGATCGTCTCTGGAAATTGAACGGGTTTGGGTGAAGGCTGCCTTTCAGGACCTATGGTTTCGGGTGTAGGCTTTGCCGGGCCCCTGACCTCTAGAAACCCTAAACCCAAAACCCTAAACCATAAACCCTAAACCCAAACAAAAATCTCGTCCCGGGGATGCCTCCAGCTTAAAGGCGCCTTGCGCAGAAAGACGGCAGGGGAAGAGATGACTACCAGTCTATTCTTGGGGTCCTATAATATAAGATCACATAATATAGCCGAACCTATTAAGGCCCAAACTAGTTATTGAGGAAGCACGAAAATGATCACGAGAACCACTGTACAGTCATCAAGAGGTCTGAGGCGCCGAGATTTGATGGCTTGGCTGAGACAAAGGTCTGCAATCCCCTGAGTGCTGCGCCAGGTAGGAGGTCGTCGATTGGAATCACCACCCCCAGGGGACTCTCCTGGAGTAGGCAACCCGATTCTGTTTACCGGATCTTGGGTTCTGGCTCCTCCTCAAACGCAATGATCTAGTCTTAGAGGAAGTAGGGGTCTACGGTTTATGGTTTAGGGATGTCTATATCGGGTCTAGGTCGGGTATAGGCTTATAGTGTATGTAAGCTTTATAAGGTATGCGGTTTGTAGGTCTCCGTAGCATTAGGGTATCTATGCTTAATGTTTTGGGGTATATGTCTTCTCAAGAAGGCGTGTAAAGCTAGGCTTACAGCAACTGCGCGCACTTTGGGCACAGATGTGAAGTGAAAGGGCTCGATACACGGGCAGGAAAAGAAGCCAGTAACAATCGCCCGTTGTAGTTTCTAAACAAATGTACACTTAGAGACTTGGAATGTATGCAATGTATGCTATTCCGATCTTTAGGGCACCTATCTTGCCGCTAGCTCTCGGGCTCAAGGACTCCGAGAGAATGACCACATTCGGGGCCGAAGCCGGCCGCAAACGTCAACTTTGATGCCCCAAAACCACACCGAAATTCTTAGCCCCACACTATCCGAACCGCAAGATCCAGGGTCTCTATCAGGCCTAAACCCTCAACCCTAAACCGATTCCCCACTAAACTCCAAAGGCGCCTCGGAAAGATTTGTGAGCTCCAGGAGGCGCTCCGCGCCCCTCCTCGACACGGCATAGGCCTCGGAAGCAAGACGAGAACTTGTTGACACCACAAAGCTCACACCCACCAGGGGGTTGTGGGAATTAGGGTAGGGTTTAGGGTTTAGGGTTTAGGGTCTAGGGTTTACAAGGGTTTGCTGGGACTCACCAGGGGCTTGGATTTAGGGGTTTCGAACTTCTTCCGGGGGTTCTGGACAATGCAGGGTTTCGCGCAGGGACGAGTTCTGGGCTTCTAGCGCTCAAAGCTTGCACAACCGCGCCAGGAATTGAGGCCTAGCTTGGCAGGCATAGGGCCTCTTCATGGCCGAACAAGATGTGCCCCCATAGTTGAAATCTGCTGGCAGGCGCGATGTTGCCCTCAATAGACGCAACAGACGCACTAAGTTAAGATTCAGGGCTCAGGGTCTTCCTGACAGTGGACCCAAATATCCTTAAACCCTAAGCCCTAAAGCCATATACCCCTACTGTAAACCTTACGGGCTCTGGGAGCTCTTCCAGTTTTGTGCTGCACCTTCTCCTAGCTTTGGGGCCTGATGGCTGGGAGTCCACCTCGACCCCGAAAGTACATGCAATCCAGGGTTTAGGGTTTAGGGCTTAAGGGTTCAGGCAGCTCAGTTTAGGGACCCTCATGCACAATCTGCACTTCCGTGTCCTGAGCTCCTTCTCTGTGCTGGGGGCCGCAGAAGAAACGAATTGCCCTGCAAGAACCCTGAACCCAAAGACTTGTCTGTAGACCCTAGGACTTTATCGAAATCCTAACGCCAAACAAAAAACAACCTAAAGCCTAAATCCAGAAGACCTATACACCTATAAGACGCTACAGCAACGTCCGAAAGGACTAGAACAGCATACTATGTTGTACTGCAAGACCTATAATCCTAAACCCTATAACCCTAGAACCCTTTAACACCCTCGCCAAAACTCCCAAAGCCCGGGCCCCCCACGTGGAGGCAGGTCGAGAAGCCGGCGTCGACCAAGTCGTGCTCTCCAGGTATAGGCCTGTCTTCACCAAACCTCCGGGGGAAGCAAAAGTCCTGTAAAGGTTTAGGGTATTTTAGGGGTGTAGGGTTTAGGGCAGGGTTTTATGATGGGTCTTCCAGGGGATTCTGTCAGGGTTCTACAAAAGAACCGATGCGGATTCTGCAAGAACTTTAGAAGGCAAGGGTTCTTGTACAAGTCTTGCGTGAGGGTTTTATGACGGGTGTGGAACATCTGAGTACGGGATGTATGAAGGGTGCATACCCGTGATGACATATCAGAGCGGTTTTAGGTCTAGGCGTCTTCAAAGTTGCGTAATGACTTCTTGTGAGGGTTTTTTAGTTGGCCTTTGATTTGGTTATGGTCGCTCTCGGCAGTCAGGTTTCTGCTTGCTTACTGAGGTTTACTACTGCAATTCTCGAAACCACTAAACCCCAAACAAACCCCATAAATCCTAAACCCTATAAACCCCAAACCCTATAAACCCTAATACTAAACCATACAGCCGTGGTGTAAACCCTAAAGCCCCAAAAGTTGTTGGGCCTTCAACTTCAGGGAATCAGCAGCTCGGATCTCTTGAATGGATCGGAGGTCCCAGGCCGAAGAATACGGTTTAGGGTTTAGGGTTTAGGGTTTAGGGTTCAGGGCTCTCCAGCACACTCATTTTTGAATATGCATAGTCATACGAAGCTTAGTATCAATATCAATATCTGAATATCAATGTTCGTATTCGTATTATAATATCTGTATGAACACACATCAGATAATATTGACAATAATAATAATAAATGATAATGAAAAATAATACAAATCTGAGTGTGTGTGTATGAACAACTAAATACATGTGTACATGCATATAATGTATATATATATATATATATGTTCTCTTTGTGGTATCCACTGACAGCGCAACTCCACACCGCACGCCGTAGACACAAATCGAAGTCGTCCAACAGTGCCTGTGTCTGCCGACCAGGAGCATGTCCCATGAGCCTTTCGGCGAAAGCGAGCACAAGCAGCTAAAGGGTTGAACGTCGTAGCAGAAATAAATGCCACGGTTCCTGTTGTGCTAGAGCTAGCCCCGTTTTGATGGCTGTTCTCGTCATCGTGATCGTGGCGTCGTCTCCGTTGCAGCAAAAGTGGCAGCAAGTGTTGGAACAAGGCATCGATTCTGAAATGCGGGAGCGAGCATCAAGAGCTGTCCATTAATTGTGTGTTGTGTGACACAGACTACAAAACGATACTCGTGAACGCAAGCCGCACAACATCGTGCCGATTGGAACTCATGATCCTGGCTTCCAGGCTTTCCACTTCACATTGCCAGCCTTTGTCTCACAGTATCTTACGTCTGCTTCAAACTACTCCATGGCCATGAGCATCACCGCCACCAGCATCATCACTAGCATCACCGCCCTTGGCAGCAAGCATCTCGAATTTCCCTCCTCGTGCCTGTTCCTCTTTCTCTCTCGCTCTCTACCCTAGGCCTCCGCTGTCAAGTCCAACGGACTCAGCTTTAAGTTCCGTCTCATCCCTCGCCTTCTTCACGGACCTTCAACCCGCGGGCAACCTTTTTAGGATAAACAAACCCTAAAATTCCATGTACCTTTGGCATGAATGTAGTCCCTATATTATATAGGTACTTTAGAGCCATTGTTCTACTATACCCTAAACCCTAAACCCTAAACCCTGAACCCTGAACCCTAACCCTTAGGGAAAGAGAACAGGCCCTATGCTCCTAGCCTCGCTGGCCCAGGGCTTCGGCTGCCTGGCGGCTCGCAATGCATGGATATCATTTATAGCTTATAATACAGGTCCATATATGATATAATATGATATAATATGATATAATCTGATATGACATGATATGACATGGTATCATATACTGTGATATTAACAGATGTTAAGCAATAGGTGTCCACTGCAACGGGTGAATACTTCTGACGGCAAGTATACATACACACATGCATACACATGTCATGTTTGCGTGTATGCACACGTTTACATACAAACAGGCATACATACATACATACATACATACATACATACATCCATACATACATACATACATCCATACGTACATGCCCCACAAGGAAAGCACGCCTGCGTCAACGCCGACCAAACAGAGGCCCACCGTGCAGCGCAGAGGCGAAAATAGGCCGCCTCAAGGATTTGTACAGGCTTTTGTGGGGGATTCTACAACCTAAGGCTCCATGTACCCATATAGTTCATACTTAGGCCTTAAAGTACCTATATAGGGACCCCTTTAAGGCCTCAGTATCTACTATAAAGGTACATGGAGCCTTTGGGCAAGGGTTTGTAAAAGTTGTTTTCGGGGTTCTACAGGGTTGAATAGGGGTTGGCGGTTTTGGGTGCAAAGGGTTTTTCGTGTTTAGGTGTTCCAGCGAAGGGGAAGAAGGACTTGAGGGCAACTTTCCTGTGGCTTTGGGGTCCATGGGGTATACGTACACTGGGGAAGAAGGGTAGTACTGAGCTTTCAGGTCTTTCAATTCCTATAGGCCCTAAACCCATAAACCCCAAACCCATCCGCCATGAATCTCTTTGAAAGATGCTGGTTCGATGCTCGGCCTCGCTTTCCTCGTCCACATCTCCGTTCGCTGCTGCTGGGGGGAGGAAGGACATCCTGGCACATATGGATCTCTTATATGTGTTCTGTTGAATACTACTATACTGAATACTGTATCACCATCATACGCTATACTCTAGCTCTACATGTTGTGATCTTTGGTCTTGCACAGCTGCTCTTCCTGGCGTCTCACGTTGGAGCTGAAGCAATGTGAGGCAAAGTAGCGATTGACTATGCAACAGCGAGGCCTCACAAATGGCCCAGGAGCCCACAGAAGGACTGGTGACTGGTTAGATGCATGTCGGCGGGAGGATCACAGCAAAGTTCATGATCGATTCGATCTATGACTATGGACATCGTCGTGGCGACTGGTAATTCCGCCCCCTTGAATTCGGAAGAGGTGGGGGCAGTGGCACCACGAGAGTGCAGGACTTGCCCAAGAAGTCACTCCGAACGCAGCAGCTCGAGAGAAGTGGCTGAACAAGGCAGTTGAAACAAGGTTCCCTACTGGTAAATCCCGGCATGGGCGTACTTGTGACACATAGTAGAAGAGGAACTCAGAGCTCCAGTCAGACAGAACTTGCAATGCTAGGGCCTAGGATCCATGGTCATTTCTCAGCATCGCTGCCACCGATCTCATAAACATTGGCATCCCGATTCTGATCATAATGACCGTCATCATCCTCATCATGACCGCCAGTACCGTTTTTAACGCTGACCATCACCGCCACAGCCACCACCACCACCACCACCACCACCACCACCACCACCACCACTACCCCACCACCCACCACCCCACCACCCCACCAACCACCGCACCACCACCGCGCCACCGCACCATCGCAAAAAACACCCCCGCACCGCACCCGACCACCGCACGACCGCACCCCCGCACCACACCACCATCATCCCGAATCACCCCCGTGGTCGTCATATGATCATCGTTTCCATTAGCATCATCATGATGATCAGATCGTCGCCGCAGCTACATGCATCACGGATCCCCGGGATAGTGCCACCGCTTGCGCATTTTGTGCCAGAAACCCTCCAACAGCGACTGTCGACTTTCACTAGGCTTCCCTAAAACCTGCACAGTGCAGATTACTCAGAGGAAAACATCAGAAGAGTCCCTCTGCCCGACGCTGCCAGAACAGGCTAGCCGGAAGCACGGCACCGCATCGTCCTCGAGGATCCTTGCCGGTCATGTCGTTGAGTTTTCTTCGTCGTGACTGGTCCGGAAGAGAGGCTTCTGGACTTATTAAAACATCTAGAGTTTAGGTTTTCAGGGCTTGAAGTTGATGTTCTGCGGCTGCAGGGGTTTGATCAGGTGTTACCGACGCTGCACATGTCAGCTATCGTGACGGAAGTTTAAGTGCTAACCGCGAAGAAAACCGAAGTCTCCAGGAGTCAAGGTGTGCTGCTGCTGCTGCTGCTGCAGCTGCTGCTGCTGCTCGGGATAATGACCCTGTGGGAGCAACACGCGTAAGCGGAAATAGCAGGAATCATGACAGTCACAATACTAGTACAAGAGCTAATGAATGGAGGTCTAGACTTCAGTACTGCTGCAGCTGCCACTGCTGCTAGGATGAGGGAAGCGGCAACTATCAAGACGAAGACCACGACCACGACGACACCGACGAGAAGACGACGACGATGCCGGCGTCGACGTCTGCTGGACAACTTCCAACCCCCGAAGTGTTCAAGGTACCCAGTTATAAGCTGCAAGGTACTTGGGTTCGGTGTAGGTCGCTTCCAGTAGCTGATGACCAGAGACTGAGACTAACACCGACTGGCACCAGCGACTTGTACCGCTATGGGCCTGCTTTCTCTGTTCCAGATCGAGATTGTGTGACCTTCCTGTGTAGCACCTTACATCATTTGATAGCTAACGTTTTTTTATGGTTAGGTAGGATCCGAGGATAAGACAACACAGTTCTACAGTCCAGTCTCCAGTCTCTCAGGTGGGGAGTCAGACCGTTGGCGGGATCGAGAAGAAAGGCGACATCCGATGGGGGTTCTGAAAGGTAGGCGCACCAATACGTCGCACACTTCTTTAAACGAACACTCAGTTATGCAAACAACCTACCATTCTGCGGATGTGGGTGCAACTCAGGTTGCTCTGTTCACACAAACTTAGGTGATACCATCTTATAACTAAGTCAACTTAAGTCCAAGCAGCAGCGTGAAGGGCGCATTTAGCGCGGTGGTCCAAGCCGCACGATGGCTCAGGAAAACTCCCACCTGCGACGGCCCACTGCCAGCTCTCTCTGCCCCCCTTTGTGCACAAACTGATTCCAAACCTAATTAATTCTTCTGCACCCATTCACGTTCTGATGCTGCATCGGAACCGGTTGCAGAAGGTTGGAGACCTGTTATCCGTTGGTGGCAGTGCGAGTGTTGAGAAACCCTCAGCAGATGCTCCCCACACAAAACGACACCCCAGGAAACTCCCCTAAACCCTAAACCCTAAACCCCTAAACCCTAAACCCTAAACCCCAGGAAACCCCAGTTCTTTGGAGTCCAACAGGCCCGAAACAGAGTCCGACTGCCTAGCAGACATGGCAGAATTGAAAACAACGCCTTCATCGAATGCTTTGTAGTATAACGTCTTCCCACATAATATAATAAAACCTGCTATTATATATGTATATAGCATACACAAATTTTGATTAAAAAGTAATAAATAGATAAATAAATATGTATGTATATGTACATGTATATATATATATAGAGTATAGCAGAATAGAATAGAACAGAATGGCATGGAAGAGAAGAGTTGTGCTGGATCGTAAGCCCTATAGACACCTACACCAGTACCTAAACCCCGGACAAAAAAGAGCAAACTTTGAGCAAACTAAGCCAGATCTGTGGTTTTGCCTCCCCATCGGACACCGGGCGCCCATAGAAGCGGCGTATCTCCTCCAAGAAGTCGACTCTGCGTTGTCGAGATTCGCACCCTCCAACTGTTCTCTGTGGAGAATTCAATTGTTAGGCTTTGGGGTTTAGGATTTAGGGGTTGGGCCGGGGCTTCCGGGGATTCGGCTTGTTGTTTCTGAACTGCGGGTTTTGGGATACAGCCCAAAACGTTGCGGAATATGCATTTCTGTTTGATGGTCCTGCTTGTGGTCATCGCAAGTACCTTAAACCTAGAACTACCCTGTATTCTGACCGGAGTACTCAGGCCTCATTAGAATTGATTTGGGGCTTGCGGAAAACCTCCTAGTTTGGCGGAACTCCACTAAATGGTTAGGAGCCTTTGTGCATTGACTGCTCATGCTCGGAAGAACCGGGAATGTTTCCTAAATCTTAGAATCTAAGCCATCCTACAGCACCAAAACACATTCGGTCCCCCGCATGTGTGACAGACTCTTCACAGAATCCGAAAACGCTGGCAGCTTGAAGTTTCAGCTCGCTCTTGGCAACCAAGTCAATACAAAAAGGTATCTACAAATAGCAGAGGAAGTAGCCGTGACAATCCGAAACGTTTACTGTAAAGGCTTCAATTTCACGGTTTCTATCAACAAGCGAGATGATAAGAATAAGGACTACCGCAAAATAAAGCTCTGTTAAAGGGGTCTGAATCACTAGTAACTAGTATAGTTCTTATCCCAATAAATTCAAACAAGAGAGTCAGTTTATACCTTTAACATGGTGATACCCGAAAACTGTTCCAGGCTGTCAAGCCCCTATCATCAAAAACAACTGCACAACCATCTGACTCCATGTATACGAAGACTCTTTGAAATATGAAACCATTTATATCAACAACACCTTTTAGCATAATAACATGTAAAATAGACACCTTTAAAGATAAGGACCACCCCCAAGGCTGTCCTCGGCGCCTAAAGCCTCGTCCGGGTACAGCTCCCTCCAGCGCTGCCGGGTAGCCTTTGCAAGGAGGCGCCGCGTACTCTCCTTAAAAGTGGCGTAGACGCCGAACCCTAAACTCCACAAACTCGGATTAGGGTTTAGGGTTTAGGGTTTAGGGTAGGCAACTAAAACCGATCAATCGAAACGGAACTTGGTAAGTGTAGGAGCGTCGTCTCGAGGCTCTCCTATTCAGGCGACGCTCGCCAGGCTGTAGGGCTTGGTCATACGGTTTAAGGCTTACCTGTAGTCTCCATTGTAGTTCCTTTTTGGGGATATCTTATAAAATCCTGAATATATACTTGGTTAAACCGAAAAAAGGAACTACAATGGAGACTAGAGGTATGGGGTATAGGGTAAATATATTGGGTATAAAGGGCCTCGGGATTTGCGCCGGAAGCTTGATGTATATCGTCAAGACACTTTAACATGTTATGTTAGGTTAAAGCACTCGCGCCCAATCAAGGTCAACATCAAGACCCATCATTGCACCGACCACTCACCAAATCTGGTAACTATTTCTTGTGTAACAAAGCTCATAATTGCATCGAAAACCGACATCCACATCGAAACACTGCGCCGAGAATGGAGCTCCAGATCCCAATTACAAAGGACAAGACCCTCAAATCGAATCACCGCACTTGAAAAATCTAAGTAATTGTGACCATACCAGTGGCGAAGAAGTTTTCATGTACGACAGTAACCGTAACGAAAAATGTAGCAATATTCAGAACAACGACTCTGATAGCAGTACATAGTCGCAATACCCATGCAAATTGCTAATTTTAACAACAACACTGATACTAGTCATATTTGCTGTAGTATAGTTGGACTTGACATAGTACTGGTCATACTTTATACTTATTAAAGTAAGAACAATATATTTCTAATGATTCCCACGGACCCTGAGCTCGGCTGCCTCCAGGCCCTCCCGGTCAAGCGGCCACCAGGATGCCAGGGGGGCTCCGGACTGCGAATCTTTGGGGTTACAGGTTTTGGAGCTAACTCATCGTTTAGGGCAGAGGACAGCTCAGTCAAGGGTGGCAGTAGCAGTAGCGGGTGCAGCAGTAGCCGTAACAGTAGCAGTAGCAGTAGCGGCAAGCAGCGGAGCAGTAGCAGAGCAGCAGAGCAGCTGCAGCAGCAGCAGCAGCCGGAGCAGGTGCAGGAGCATGAGGAGCAGGAGCAGGAGCGGGAGCGGGGAGCAGGAGCAGCAGGAGCAGTAGGAGCGGTAGGAGCAGTAGAAGCCGTAGGAGTAGTCGGAGTAGTAGGAGTAGGTGTAGGTGTAGGTGTAGGTGTAGGTGTAGGTGTAGGTGTAGGTGTAGGAGTAGTAGTAGTAGTAGTAGTAGTAGTAGTAGTAGCAGTAGCAGTAGCAGCAGCAGCAACAACAGCCGCAGCAGCAGGAGCATCAGCCCAGAGCAAAGGCCCGTTGAACACCATTCCTCATGAAGGCGACTAACTAACCTCCAAGCCCAACACCCGAAAACCTTCAATCCGAACACCCTGAACCTGAAACCTCATAGTCACCCTTATACTTATAACGTCTATTGCCAACCAAAAACCCTAAACCCCTAATTAACCGCAGACCCTTTAAAGGACCTTTTCAGCCCGTTCTGCCTCGGCACCCTCCACCGCTGGCAACCAAGAAGCTTCCGCCCCGGCCTGAGCCCAATTACTCCACGGTCTGTGCAGCCATGTTTCTAAATGGTTCCTATAGGGGTTTGGGTTTAGGGCTTGGTGTAGGGTTTAAGGTTTTGAGTTGAGGGCTTTGGTATCGGTTAGGGTTTAGGGTTTTGGATTTAGGGCTGCATAAGGGGCCCCTAACGAGGATTCTTGTCTGGGGTGCAAGTTTTAATCACCAGGGCTTGTTGGCGATTAAGTTCAGACAACTCTACAAGCAGTTCAACACGCATCGCTTCGGATAGCTCGATGCTAACGTCATGCGATTCGAGTAACGAAAACCAACGTCGCTGTCGGCTGACGTTCGACAGCATGCTCTCACCGCCTTGGCGTGGAGCGCACCTGGACGTTGACCCGCTCGGAAGTTGTCCTCGAAGGTGAAGTGCTTGTTAGGAAGCGGGCAACCAAGGTCCTCCAAAACTGACGGCTGCCTTGGCATACTTGTGGAAGACGTGTGTGCAAGCTTTGTACTCGGATGGGTCGTCGAGTATGCGATACGTTCCGTCCTTCTTCTCCTGCGCGAATGCATAGACGCCGAGCTTGCTGAAGTCAACCTCGCCGCTCTCAGCGACCGCCACCTTGTCCAAGCGTTTGCCAAGAACCTCGTACGCTTTCGCTCACAAAACAACCCCTTCATGGAACCCAGACT